GGGGTCCAATGAACGGCGAGACGAAACGATCGCGCCGCCTGTACGAGAGCGCTCGTCCAATGATCACACGGGAGATCTTCAGCATCCACTTCTCCCCAGTCGTGGCCTCACCGCTCCTCTCTACGGCGTATGGAAACCCTTCTCTCACACGCAAAAGGGGACATCTCATCACGACTCTTGGTAGCAGGCACTTCTCCGTAGTGGGCACTCCACTCATCGTGTCGTCGTACGGGTTCTCCGCGAGAGGCTGTGGGGCCTGTGCCCGGGCGGGCGAGCAAGCGAGCGAGCGAACGAGCGCGAGCGCGAGCGGGCGAGCGCTGGTCGAGTGGGTCTAAGCGGCCGTGAGGACCTCTCCAGGAGTACCCGACAGAAGTCCTCTCCATTCATTCATCCATCCATCCAGCCAGCCAGCCAGCCAGCCAGCCAAGCCAAGCCAAGCCAAGCCAAGCCAAGCCAGCGAGCCAAGCCAGGCAGGCAAGCCACCCAGCCAGCCAGCCAGCCATCCATCCATCCATCCATCCATAGAACGGCTCTTCTCCTACGGAGAGTGTATCCTCGACGAAGGTGGAGGCGAAGCGTAGAGTGGTACATCTACCATCGTCTCTCTATCGGCGGAATCCAAGGACTCCCAAGACCCCCGTGTGATTTCAGTCGGCCGCCGGCCGGCTCTGGCCGGCCACTATCCTCGACCACGTGGCCGTGTCACCGCGTTATCCTTTGTCCGTTTTGGGCTTCCAAGGAGCAGGACGCCAACGACAACACGTCGACTTACGTTGTGTTCTCCGCCGAGACAGGGTCGAGAGGTCCGACGACCGCAGGAGAGCCATCCGAGTCGGCCGCCGGCCGACCGCGCGGCCTCGATTTTTCCCCGGTTACGTGTGACAGTTCATCACCGTGCGCCACGTGACATCGCATCCCTTCGTCTCTCAACGTCAATCTCGCGGCCCGAGACCCTGGTTTCCGGAGAAAGTAACCCGGAAACCAACGACGACGAATGTAAGAAGGAAGATGGATAACACGTTCACCATCAACGTTGGCGAATAAGACATATCCGCAGTGAAGGAGTTCTTCTTCTTGAATTCACTTCCAAACCCCCAAGTAATCGGAGACTTATTCGGCCAATATCTAGTGATAGTGGAGCTTGAAGACGAAGTCAGTGTTTTGCAGATCGAATACTTCCGGTGAGCTGTCGTGCTTGTGTATAGGAATTGGTTTTCGCGATTGCAAGAGCTATGCGTGCGTTTAAACGTGATCGAGATCAGGGAAAGAGAAAGAGGGACAAACCCCGGCTCGCGGCGAATGATTGCGGGCTGTACATTGATTTCGGGGACAAACGGTCCCGATGTTAGTGAAGACGGGGAATTTTTTACTGTGCGCCCGTGATCCATTATAGTAACAAGTGAGCGCGTCGACGTATACGAGTGGCTTGTGGCATTGTGGGATTAACTAGTCGTGTGTACCGATTTCGGTCCCGAGTGAACGATCGTTCGAGTGACATACTGTCGAAATTTCACGGTGAAGATCGGAGTTGATAAACCGTCCGTCGAGAACGTGATCCAAAAGGAGGTGCCGACGATCGTGTGAAAACTACGTTGGCGATCGGCAGTCGCGAACTAGACGAGAACGAGAGAAAGAGAGAGAGAGAGAGAGAAGTAGAGTCATAATGCGCCGTTGTTACGGCTAGCGCCGGCCTCATCATTCCGCGAAGCGCGAGCTTCAAGTATTTCGACGGCGTCGGGCTCGCCGAGATGAGCGGTGGCAACGGCGGCGGCGGAAACGGTGGCGGTAATGGTAATGGCAACGCCACGACTTATCACCAGCACCAACAGCAGCAGCAGCAGCAGCAGCAACAACAACAACAGCAACAGCAGCAACAACAATCGCTGGAGCAGGCCGGCCTGCTGTCAGATCTCAATGGCATCGACCTGGCGATGAGCCTGTCGCCCAAGCAGCACTCGTCCCACGTCCAAGCTGCTGGTGC